CTTTAGAGCATCACCGACTGTTATATCCTGTCCAATGAGCTTGCATTGAATGCCAACTGAAGTGTAGCCTCCGGATTTTCCAGGTCTCTTTCGAAGTTTAGTTGCACATCGTATGCACGTTCTTTCAGTTCCAACCATGCTTCCACTACCAGTTCAAACAAATCAGTAAAAATTAAAATAATAAATCTTATTGCACCACTAATAACTCTCCTAACTGTGGTAAACAACTCCTCACTGCAAAAGAAAAGCCTAACGTCGGCGCGAAAGGTGACTCTGCACTACACTGCGTACTCCCCATACATAAACCCCATGGTGTTCTACTCAGATTATAGCTGCGTTCACACGATGATTTCAGTACTGTACTTAGCGTTCACACGTTAAAAATATTCAAGGCTTATCAAGGGTCGAAATTAGATTTTTATTATGGTATCCATTCGGGATACCAGGTATTGAAATCTGGTATCCCCCCCAAAGATCTGGTATCCCATTTATTGGATAGTAATTTCAACAATTGTTTGACTTCAAAATTCTCATCGCTCGCGTTCATTTTACATACGCCTCCACAGTGCACTGCAGACGTATTGTCTAAACGCATTGTCTGGTTTGCTTGATACAATATATACACATCACATTTATGATCGGCTTCTTGCAACATTAGCTGCGTTCACACAATATACATGGCCTCGCTGGTTCCGTACTTATCTGGTGCCGAATTCAGCTGAAATACCGTGCTAAGACAACCTGGAGCGCTCACACGAGAATCGAGGCTTAGCTGGCTATAGGTATAATATAAACTGGTACCCGGTCGACAGTTCCACACGCTACACTAACGTCGTGTAGCGAACGGCCGGGTACCAGTCTAGGCAAGCGTGCTACAGTTTCGCAATTCGAAATTGCGTTCACACAACAGAAAATATGCGGCCAGCGTGGTGCCGAATATATGCGGCTTATTCAGTACCGTACTGAAATACGCGGCTTACTCGGCGCAGAATGTGATTCCGCGCCGAGTAAGCCGCATATTTCAGTACGGTACTGAATAAGCCGCGTATATTTTTAGCGTGTGAACGCTCAAGTACGCAGGGCTCGACTTTAACGGTGGCCCGGGTGCCAATGGCCACCTGAAACGGCGTCGGGCCACCTGAAACTGTCGGGTTGGTGGCCCGCGTGGCCACCAATAAAAATAAGGCCGTGGCTACGCGACCGGTTCCGGACGAGGAGCCGCTAGGAGAAAGCTAATGCTGACTCGCCCATGTTGGCGAGTAAAAATAATTGTCTGGAACTTTAATCAAATATGTTGGTTCCTTACGTCATATATCCCAACATTGATGAAATACAGTTGTAAAGGGCGGCTATCACACGACATCCTCACTATATATTATCAAAGGTCGCCGAAGAAAGCAGCCCGCGAAAGCGTGCAGCGCCAGCAAGGCGTGGCT